GGCTTAGCTAAGAGCTGCCATTTTGTATATATTTAGTATCTAATTGCATCTAACCTCCTATATGTTAATCTTAGATCTTAATAAATGCTTTGTTTAATTGTTAAACTTATCTCCTGTCTATCCAAGGACTCCTGTCAACTTGCTCACCCCCTCGCCACTTGATAGAAAGCCATCCAAAAGACAAAGTGGGCAAGTTTTACCAACTCGACGTGTAAGTGGCAATTAGGGTACTGACCCTGTGTCCTCGTAATCTCACATAATTATCTAGACTATCTCTTACAGTAATTCTGTACTCATTGGTTGTTATAATATCTTGCTCTCAGTTTATGATCAATAGACTCAACAACAAAGTTTAAAAAAATTGTATCCATTTCATAAAGGTAAAATTTTGAATAGTAGATTCTCTGCTTTATTTTTGCATCAAGATTTTTTAAAAGTATTTTCTCCAAGGACAATAAGAATTAATAACAAAAAGATTATTGTGACATTCAAATATGCATTCTTTAGTATGATTTGCAATTAATTTAATAAATAAAATGTGTGTAATGTAAACAGATATATGTATTTTTAAATAAATTAAGACATTTAGTGATGTGTATGTGTGTATAGGAAAAGTCCTAATAATGAACATCCTGTATAACAAACCAACTTAATTAACAAACTTGTCTTTAGGTCCTGACTGTTTTATATTTACAGTGAAAACTGCTTAGGCGACCACCTGCATTCGACGGGCACCTGTCAAAACGGGCAAAAATTTCTGGCACGGAATAGTTTATCCATAGAGTCTTCGTATAAGTTACCTGTATTAAACGACCACCTGTGTAACGCGACCGCGGGCATCGATTTTTGGTCCGAAACAACATACAACACCTGTAATAAGCGACCACTTTCGCGAATGTATCTGGTCTAAACTATTGTAAGAACCCATCTCAACAACGTTTCCACCTCCTAATATAATGAATTAGTCTAAACTCTCGTTCGAACCCATCCCGGGCACTTCTCCCACCCTTGAAATTAGGTGCAGGTGTTAATAAATTAGTCTAGCAACAAAGGAAATTCATTTCAGTTTGTTGGAAAATGTCCGAAATGCAAAGTGCTGTCGTTAGAAGATCGTATTAAAGTTATCACAACAGCAATTAGCGGCGAAGTTTAACTGTGGGAAAACAAAATTTATTTTACCCTAGACCTACAGTATTTTCCTTGGGGGTGTAAAATATTGTACACGATACAATTAATCGGCTGATCTCATCGTTTGATAAAATCTATTTTTATTTATTTATTTTGAAGCTCATATACAGTACACGTGCGATAAATAGTTTCTGTATCAACCTACCTTATTTCCACGATATTTTTAGAAAAATAATATCCAAGTAATTTTCGCAGGCAAAATATTCAAAAAACAATAAACGCATTAATGCAAAAATCAGTTTTACTTCCTTTTTCGATTCCGCGATTGTAATGAAATCGTATAATGAGAAAAAATAATAAAATCGTTTTATTATTAATTAATAATTTTTCTTATTGTACTTAATTAATTAAGAAAATATTAAATATTAAAAAATACAGTATTTTTAAAGTTAAAATAAGATTAAACTAACGAAAACCAAAAGCAAAGTGATGGAGAGATAGGACGCGCTTGTATATTGATGACGTAATACACGTAACTGAGGAGCGAACGAAAAGAACCGAGTCGAATTAATTAAGTCGGAAAAAAGAAAGTGTGCATTATAATCGAGAAAATGCGAGTATTGTATTAATCTTTAAAATATTGGTGTTAAATCTGTCTTATAATATCATGACGACTCCTGTAAATCGGGTTATCCGATAAGAATAAAATACAATACCAATATAGCCCTATTGTTGAAAAAATTCGTTTATTTTTGCTCGCCTCGAGTTTTGCTTAGTAGAAATGGCTAAAAAGTGCACAAAATACGTACGGAAATACGGTATTACAGCACCACCTGTATTGGACGACCACCTGTCTAAAAGACCACTTTTTGAAGGAACCGTGGGTGGTCGCCATAGACAGGTTTTACTGTATTTTATATGCATTTTTCATCCTGTTTAAAGTACTTTTTGCTGATTCAATGGAAAATCATCCAAATTAGCAAATCAACTGAATCTGAGAAAAAGATTTATCAAATTGTTTTTGTTTTCCTCATGTATCCCACTTTTGCATTTAGTCATGTGATATGAACACCATCAGATATTGAATAATCTTGATATCAATTGAGCAATCTCTATTTCACATGTTGTCTTCCATCCTGGCATTCAAAATGCTTGATCAATGGGGACTAAAGACCAGTTTTCATTCACAGAGGGGACAATTTGTTTTTTTTTTTTAAATCAAATTTCATATTTATTGCACAAAATTTTGATGTACTGTATCGATCACCATCGCACACTATTTATTCACTGGTAAGTACTGTACAAATTTGCTGTGTAGAGAAAAAGCCATTCAATTTTAACCAATTTGTAAATTCTTATTTTGAAATTTTGATGCATACAGTATCGAGGTTTTCTTTTTACAATATCTTTCATACAATGGCAGAAAACAAACAAAAACAAAAGCAACTCACTGTTGTGCAGAAGCTGCAAATTTTAAAAGTGGTTGATACAGAGGAAAAGAAACTTGATAATGTATTAAAATATGGCATTCCAAAATCAAGCTGCTCAAGAATACTTTCATATAAAAAAAAATGCAACATTAATAGGATCACATTGACTTAGAGCAGTGGTTATTAACTTTTTTATACTTGCGGCTCACCAAATATTTCATAATATTTTTGTGACCCCCATTTTTTTAATAATAATTTATATTTGTTAAATTATAATAAATTGATTTTTTTATTATTGCTTTAATTTTTTTATATAATAAATGTAAAACATAATTTTATTATTTCTTTATCTATTTAAATAACATTTAAACTTCACAATTAAACAAAAACTCATTAAATTTTAACAAAAAATAAAATAAGAAATAAATAAATAAAACTAAATATGAAAACTTTATCTTTTCAATTTCACTTTCAATATGATATTCAGTTATACATCAATTTTCTTTTTATTATATTCTAAAGGAAATTTTGCATAATTTGGTGACCCCACGACAAACTTCTTATGTACCCCAGGGGGTCATGGCCTCCTGTTAAGAAACAATTCTATTTCAGTCAATGGTTCAATGATGCAAGAAAAGGCATGAGAAGAAGCAGAAAGCTTGGAATGAATGATTTCAAGCATGGAAACATGGAATGAATGATTTCTAGGCATCAGATGGTTATGGCAGTTTAAGAAGAGGTGGAATCTGACATCACTAAAGACAGCTAGAGAGGCAGATGGAATGGACCCTGAAGTGGAAAACAATTGATTTCGAAACTGCCAGAATTAACACACAGTTACAAAGCAAGAAACATTTTCAATGACAATGAAGCAGACTATATGTTCCCCAATAGAACACTAGCACTTAAAGGGGACACTTACCATGGTGGAAAGTGCAGCAAAGAATGCTTAAAAGTATATTTTTGTGCAAACAGTGATGGACCTGAAAAACCCACCATATGATAGGCAAATATGCTTCAAAACTGCAAAATATCTGCTGTGTACATACAGAAACAATGCTAAGTCGTGGATGACAGCCTCACTTTTCAGGGAGTGGCTATTAGCAGTTGATTCTAAAATGATGATCACAGACAGAAGAATCCTGCTGTTCATTGACTGTTGCAAGGCCTATATAAAATGGATGATTTGAAACTGAAAAACATCGAGTGATCATTTTTCTGCCAAACTGCACTAGCAAACTCAGCCAATTGATCAAGATGTGATTGCCTTCGTGAAGAATCCTTACAGATGACAGTTTGTTTGGCATATGATTCGCCAAATGGAACACGGAAATAAACTGGTATTAGTAAAATGGAATGTTTTGCAGCCCATGTAATGATTGTGTTCAGTTTGGAACAGCATTGAACCAGCCACTATTAAAAATTGTTTCAAAAAAACTGGTTTTTCAGTTCAAGATAGTTTTAATGAAAATTATGAAAGCATTAATGATGACTTTATCTGTCTGGACAGAAGTAACCAATGTGGTACATTTGGAAGATATGACATTTTATGATTTTGTTCAAATTGATAACAGTTGTGTTGTATCATCAGAAGCTAATACTGAAGTAACTGAACATGGAGATGCATTATGTCAAGTTGAAGATAGTGTAGATGAGGAAATGAGAGGGCCTTACCAGTAAAACTACCAAAAAGGTCTGAAGTAAATGCAACCCTTAATACATTAGAGATGCTCATCCAAGCATCAAAAGAAGCAGATAAAAACATAAAAATATTCCTTGAAATGGAATAAGTGGCATTTAAATTACTTAAAAAGCAAGAAAGGCAAGCAAATATGAGTTTTTTGCCAAGAATTTATAATACTGTATACAACATTCAGATCATATATCTAATGCTCCACAGCTTTCCTTTGTATAATTTCATATATTGTAACATGTTTTACTATGTTTAAAATATTTTTTTTTGTTTTTATTTTTTAAGTTTTGTATATATTTATTTAACTTAAATTTTATGTATGTTCTACAATATTCTGTTCATTTTGTTCAAACTTAAAATTTAATAAAATTTCTGACAGTCCTAAATAAAGGACATCCTAATAAACAAACTCAAGAATTTGAGAATTTGATTTCCTGAAATTTGTTAATTAGGACTTTTCCTATATATATATTTTTTTTAATACATATCAGTCTCATTTGATATAATAATTTATAAAAAAAATAAGTCCATGTTTAAATGTCAAATATAAATTATTCTAACATAAATTTTAGAATACATATTAAAAATTCATGTAAATTATTCTAAAATTTAAGTTAGAGTAATTTATATTTGACATTTGAGCATGGACTTATTTTTTTATAAATTATTATATCAAATCTATAATTGTTTTATCAGGTTTTAAACAAAAATAAATTTGATGATAATATACATAATTTTTATATTTTTAGGTTCTCTTACTCAGGCAATTCGTAATTTTGCCAAAAGTTTAGAAGGATGGCTAGCATCATCTATGATTGGTTGTCCAGAAGAAATGATCAGAGTAAAGGTTTGTATAATGAAACAGAAAACTGGCTTATTTTTAAATTGAATATGTTGATTAAGGAAAATAGTTATTTTATATTAAGTTCAGAAGAATGAAACGTTTGAAAAAGACACTGAGGTTACTGTTGTTAAACATTATTTATAAAAATATTACTCAAAAAATCATATATAAAATGTTTATTAATGTCCTACAGAATAAAATATTCCATACATAGTTAATAAATTATACATTATAATTTACACAGTAATTATACATTAATTAGCATTGCATAAATATTTAAACAAATTATTAAATTATATATATATATATATATATTAATTGCATTTAGCAAACTATTAAACATTATACATATTATTAATTATGTTTATCATCATCATCTACAGATTCTCTTCATATTAAGAAATTTCTCATGGAGAATTATTGGAAATGAAAATAATAATAAATGTATAAATACTCAGAAGCAAGAGATAAGTGCTACATGAAATAAAATTAACTTTTTATCTGGAAATATTTCATTATACTGTTTATTTTCTATTAAGAACTGTTTTATTACATGCCATTTGATTTTTAATTATTGAAAAGTTGTTTAAGGAAGATCAGATACAACTAATTTAAAAAGAGAGAGTTGGATACATAACTGAAAAATAAAACAAGACAAACACTGAATTTTGCTGTAAGGTAATTTTATGACTATCATTCATTTCCTAGATTTTTGCTGGGTTTGTATGGTGCAATAAGGAATCTTATAATGATGCACATGCGTATCAATGCCACATGTTTTAAAATTTACAACTTCTTACGATGCACCAATAACACTGTGCATTCAGCTGTAATGCCAGACAACATGGACATATAGTATACTCTGTTGTCATGAAATTCTACCTCTATCTTCCCACTTTTATGGTAACATAAAAGAGAAGATTCTCTTCATTTTCATTTGATCTATCATAGTATATATGTATTTTTTAAAAAATTATAAATTATGGAATTTTTATTTAATGCTTGATTAAAAATTAATGTATATTTAANGTATATTTGTTTGTTTTTTTTTATAGTTAAGTGCTGTAAGTGCCTTTGCCCAGACATTACGCCGGTATACTTCTTTGAATCATTTAGCTCAAGCGGCAAGAGCAGTATTACAAAACACATCACAGATTAATCAAATGTTGTCAGATTTAAATAGAGTAGATTTCCATAATGTACAGGTGAGTCAGTAGCATTTTATCAGTTAATGGTATAAATGAATTATGTAATCAAATTAATTTGTATGATTTAGAATATATTTTATTGGCATTTTTATAAAAATTTTGAATATATTAAAAACAAATTTTATCTTTTATTCTAACTACTAAACAAAAGCTATGCAAGAAATTAGCTGATTCAGTTGTTCTCAGTTATGTGTATTGATTTATAATTAAAAATGTAATTATTAATTATTTGATTATGTATTCAGATTTTTATGATATATACCAGTATGTTTTTGCGAATTTATGGGGCTCTGAAAAATTAATAAAATTAAAAAAAAAATCCCTGAATAAATATTCATTAATAAAATGACGAAATAATTAAATTTTGTTTAAATAATTATTTATTCAGGTATTTTTATTTTTATTATATTAATTTTACATGTACTTGTTGTTATTTATTTATTCATGTATTTGATTATTTTTAACATAACATCCTTAAATTCAAATGCTTGTTCTTTTAAATTTGTATTTATGTTCTTTTATTCTTCCATTTTGTTATGTTCTGTAACTGAGGAAAGTCAGTGAACCTGATCAAAAACATTCTTAATTTTTATTAAATTTATTGCTGGATTTATCAATGTGTAAGTTTTTTATGAACTGTTTACCTCCAGTTATTTTTGAATTTCATAGTTAATAAATAGAAAACTAACTTGATTGATTAACTTTGTATTTATTAATAAAATTGGATAATATCTTTATATACATTTGAAAATAGAATCAAACAAAATCAAAGGTGATCTATTGATAATATACAGTTATAGATATCAAAGTCTTGATTATAATATAAAATTTCTTGTTACAAGAAGGAATTCAAATATTCAACTCACTAAGCTAAATTGACACTATTGAGAGAGAGGATATACAGTTAATATTACCTTAAATGATCTTTTTGATCTGTAGGCTTCTTTAAACTGTAAGATGAACTATTTTAATTAGAATGACTTGAGAGATGATGGGAATCTTCAGTTCTATCAGGAGGGCAAATGGATGAACTCAACTTGTTTCATGGGAGGATGAGAGCATTGAGCAGAGAGTTTAGGGGTGACCTGTCCCTTTTAAACAAAAATATTCTCCAATCAAAATAGTCAAAAATAAGCCCTTACTCTTCTGACATGTGACAAAAATTGGGCAGTTCAACAGATAAGTGGAAATCTCTTGTTAACTATCAATTTTGAAGGAACTGTGTTATCTTTTTCCAATTGAACAGGAAGTTCCTTTTTTCAACTTCGTACAATTACAAAACAAGTAAAAATTTATCGAATAATTATAACAATATTTTGTTATATCTGTTAACAAAATTAAATTATTAACCTGGATTCTCACATTTTTATGCAAACTATTTTAACTCTTCTTGCTGGCCTTTTTTTGAAGCTAGAATTACATTAGTTCATGCATAAAAAATAGTGTTTGGCAAAACTTTTAGAATCTCAAAATAGTCTCAAAATGACAAGTCTGAATTTAAATACTATATATTGGTTCCTGTTATTGAACATTGGTATCCACAATATATTAAAAATCTATATATTTTTCAAGGTCCAAATACAATAATTTTGTCTAGTTTATTTTTTATTCAGATCTATATATCAAGATTTACATTTACATGTACAAAGTACTAAATTGTATTTGCTAAATGTATAAAATAATTAAAATTCATACCATGTTTTGCAAATGCCTCTTTACTTACAATTACCAAATTATTGTTTACAATATTTTTTCATGGCATTTCAAATGTGCACAAAATGAACCACTGTTTTATGAAACAAGACATCTTAAATATTTAGAAAATTTACTTCACTTAAGAATACAGTAGAGCATCGATTATCTGACCCCCGATTAACCGTCACCTCGGTTAACCAACCGCGTTCTAGTCGGCAAATTCAAATGTCCACTAGTGATGTGACGCTACAATATTTGGCTATGTCTTGGCTACTTTAATATTATTTTTACGTGTTTTAGCTGGCAACATTGGATTGACCATGAAAAGGAACCAGTATTTAAACAAGGCTTAATTTTCTAATTTTTAACGATACAATAGTGACGATTATTATTATTTTTTTTAAATTTGATAGGCTTAACATGGAGGAAAATTCAACGTGAAGTAGGTTAATGGTGATATACTAATATACTAATTACATGGGATATAATAATATACTACACTAATAATGGATTTTTTCATACTTTTCGGTTATCCGACTTTTCAATTATCTGACCAATCCCAGTTCCCAATTGAGTCGGATAATCGATGCTCTACTGTACTTCATTTAAAGTTTAGTTTTTTTTATTTATCTTCTCTGCCTGTTGCACTAAGAGGGCTTTTTTTCATACTCATTGTATGTTTAGCCAGGCCCACAATGGGGCACCTGGGTGGTGAGGAATGGGACCCAACTTAAAGCAGACTGCCCACAAAAATTCATGAGAAGCTGCTTGTCCCAGACTTGATCCAGGTGATAACTTGATGCCTTAACTACCTCAGCCATCTGGCCAGAAGAATTTCCAAACATTTGATTTCTTTGATATTTTTTACTTCTATCTGCTTTCTGTTTAAATCTTTATAAAATAAATAAATGAACAAAACATGTGTACTCATATATTGTGAACAGTGTTGCCAGATTTTAGAAAAATCATTTGGTTATTTTTCTGAATCAGTATGTAATTTCTTTTTGTGATTTGGACTGTTTTCAACTTTCTGCATTGCAAAGTATCAGATTGACTTAAAAATTCTGTTGTGCAAGCTGTCAGTCAGCATTATAGATATGATTACAAAACTAAGCTAGTTACATTTAGACTAAACCTGCTAGTTGTATTTTATCTTTACTAATTACATTATGTTTCTTTACATTTTTATTTATAATCATTCAATGATTAATGATCAATGATTCCCATATAATGCTGTTAAAATATACAAATTTTGAACTTCAAATCATTGAGTTTTAGATCAAGTATCAAGTCCAAGTAAACTCTAATTGGAACTAAAAACCCTGAGCTTCAACCTCATTAAATGTATTCAGAACAAACTAAATGAGAATTCAGAAAAAAAATATTTTTACACTTCAGTAAAGTTGTTCTTATATATTAAACAATTAATCTATTAAATTATTTTTATTTCTACCATAAAAATAGTTTTTAAGTAAAATTTTAAGGTAAATTACATTGCATTAGTATAAGAGGAGTTTATCAGAATCTTGTTAGTCAGTTTAAGTATGAAAATAAAATTGAAGTAAAATTCCACAATTGCTACACAAATGATCAAAATGAGTCTTGCTTTCTACTAGTTACAGACTAGTAAAATTCAGTTAAATATTTTTAAGATTTCTTCTATGTATTTATGTGAACTTTCTTTCATTAATCATTTTGGTTGTAATAAGTTATCTTGCTAACAGTTTACGTTTTTGTAGGAACAGGCTTCTTGGGTGTGCCAGTGTGAAGATAATATGGTTCAAAGGCTGGAACAAGATTTTAAATTGACATTACAACAACAAAATTCACTTGAACAATGGGCAGCGTGGCTGGAAGGTGTTGTTGCTGTAGTGTTACAGCCATATGAAGGCAAACCTGACTTTCCTAAAGCTGCAAGGCAGTTTTTGTTAAAATGGTCTTTTTATAGGTAAGAAATTAATTTTCAAATTAAATTTTCATTTAATCAAAATTTTTTCTTAAATTTATTAATTATTATTATTTAACCCTTTCAACTCAACTTTCTTTTATTTGGTGTTATTTGCCTTTTTGTATTAATTGACAGTAATGTGCCTTCAAAATATGTAGAATAATTCCAACACTTTGTATTTTATTTTTTATATAATTTTTAATATATAAAAAATAAAATACAAATAAAATATTGGGACACGTGAGACTCATCAGATTTTTTAAGTGAGGCTTGTGTATCCCGCAGAGTTGACTGGAACACTCAATTTACTGTCAGTGTATTCTAGTTTCATTTCTCTACATGCTATAAAATTTCTCTATTATAATGTTTACAAATTATATCTCATTGGAAATTATCTTTTACACATGACATCTTGCAAAGAGGAACCTTATAGCTTATACAGATTGTCTTTGTTCCTTTTTCTTTATTCTTTTCTAACTTCTTCATCTTCTTTATATTTTACCTTCCTCAGGTAGATTGTTCCCATTGAACATATATTTAGTATTTTTTGCAGGTCTTCCAGTTTCACTCATTCTCCTATTTACTACTGCTGTTTCTCAACCCATCAAAAAGCTGCAGCAGTGAAGAGGAAGCTTTCAGCTACTGTTTAGTATACTCGTGAATACCTTTTTACAGTTTCAACACTACTCTTTCATTAAAATCTTCTCCATTAAAAATTTGTGTATTGTGACAAAGCAAAGACAATCCTCTTTACCTCAATACACATTCAAATCATATACATATCCTGTCATTGAGTCATATATCATCCAAGCTTTATCCTCTTTTTACTGGTTTTATAAGCATAAATTATATTTCTTCGGGGTTGATCTCTCCTTGAACGTTCTCATACTCTCATTAATACTTTGAAAGGGATTCTCAGTTTTGCACTTTGGAAATCTGTATTTTACACATACTAGAAGCTTATCTACATAATTTTTTACACACATTTACACACAGTTTTTTTGAATTGTTCATGTGTATCTTTGAAATAAGCTTCAAAGCATCTGTTTTGTGATATTGCTTTTTTTTGACATTTTGTTTCTCTTTGGTGGCTTCTCAGACCAATAGGAAGCTAAATCAGAAAGAGGATTGTATGACATGTCTAATATTGTTTCCAACAATTTTCATTTCATCAGGGTCAGTATCAGGCATAAACACACCACCCTTTTCATTTCTGAAAAAACGGGATTTTTTATTGGTTAAACTTATTGATAAAAGTATTAAGACACTGGAAACATTTGAAGAGGATCACAGCTGTGGTTTACATTGACTATAACAATATATGGTTATGGATATAGTGTAGTTTTTCTGGGTTGAAAATCAGATGTTTCTAATTACATGCTTTGGTTTAATGTGACAAGATGAGTAGAATTTGATGTACTGGCTTGGATATTATTCAGTGATTGCAGAGTATGAGGATTCTTTTTCATTTGGTTGATCTAAATAATTTTTGGAGCTTTTACTTGTGAAATTATCCTTGGTCAATATTCAAGATCTCTGTCTGACAGATCATTTTAAGATAAAAGTTTCTCTTCACTACCTACTATCTTTGTAAATTGCTTTCATAATAACTTTATGAGAAAGACAAACCATTTGAAAATCAATTTTCAATGTATAAATGAATAAACATAATAATCTAAGCGTCCCAAAAGAGTGCATGAAATACAGCTGATGGGATACACTTGTCCCAATGCATGATAAGGTTAAAAATAACAATAATTCAGATAATATTAGTAGAAAAAATTACTTCAAAGAATAAAACAAAAATAAATGATCCAAACCTTGCAAAATTATTCAATTTCATATGTGAAAAATTAGATTGTTACCACTCTAGAACTAAAAAAGTGAGATTTGTCAAAATAAATGGTTTCTAGCATGTTGCCATATTGATAATTGTTGATGTTGCCAGCACAAATGCTATAGAACATATTCAGAAAGACTGAAACAGTACAAAGTAATGCAAATAAGGGACAAATATTAACTAACAGGGGTTCAGAAACATTTACTGGGTTATAAATATCTCAAGAGAGCCAAAATGGTTAATTTAGTGAAAAGAATTATAACACAATTTTTCAATAAACTACTAAAAAATGGAAAAGTAAAATTGAAATCTATTGAAAAATTCAATTATCTTTTTATCTATCCTGTTGACAAAAGCATCTATATAAATGAAATTAAGAACTTATAATTTGCATTTTATTTTTCCTTCTTACTTTTCAAATGCCAAAATCAGTTTGAACATAATTGAATTTTAAAGAGAAATGCTAAGTTACATCTTAAAACCAGATTTCAGATAAATGTAATTTAATAAATTTATAAAAATCATCAAATGTTGACATAAAATATACTATAATATAATGTTCTCGTTTTTAATTACATATTTCTAAAATGTTTTTCTTTTATAGTTCAATGGTTATTCGTGATCTAACATTAAGAAGTGCTGCCAGTTTTGGATCTTTTCATCTAATTAGATTACTTTATGATGAATACATGTTTTATTTGATAGAACATTGTGTGGCTAAAGCAATTGGTGAAACTCCTATTGCTGTTATGGGAGAGGTGAGACTAATTTAATTTTTTTAATATTAAATTATAAATGTAGAAAAATTAATCTTTTATATCTAATATATCACTAGAAAAATGCAATATTAGGTTTTTCCTCTATGTTTGTTGAAATTCAGAATATTTGTAACAATCTTTTCATATTTATGAAAATTGTCAAAATATAAAATGAAACATTAATATTCATAAACTAGAAGATTACATAACTTCATAAAAAAAAACCTTCATTAGTAGCCATCATCAAGTTCAAGTTTACAACATCACTAGAAGTATTATAAAATAAATTCAAAATAAAATTTGATAAGATAAAGGCATTATCTAAGTTAGAAGTATATGAATGTAACTGTCAAGTTTCGTAGCAATTGGTTGAATGGCCTAGGAGTGTATAGTGAACAAACATCCTCATTTATATATATATATATACACGAGGGATGTTCAAAAAGTATCGGATCTTTGATCGGCAAAAGTACATTTATTGATTTTGAGGTACAAAATCCTAATCCCCTTCAAAGTAGTCTCCTTGGTAACTTCTCCCAGCGCTCCTGCCATTGCTGGAAACACTGCTGGAATGCATCTTTTGGAATGGCCATCAGCCGGTCTGTCACATTCCGCATGATGTCTTCTCTTGACTAAAATCGGGTTCCTTTTAGCAGCATTTTCAGCTTGGGAAATAGCCAAAAGTCACACAGAGCCATGTCGGGAGAGTACGGAGCGTGATGAACCACAGGAATGTTGTCCTTGGTGACAAAAGTCCGAATCAGATCTGAATCAGCATTATGATGATGGAGTTGCCAAGTTTTGGTTGACCACAGATCCGGTTGTTTGCTTTGTGCAACATCACAAAGACGATAAAGGACCTCCTGGTAGTACTCCTTTGTGATGGTTTGGCCTTGTGGTGCGTACTCACGATACACCACCACACGGGAGTCGAAAAAAACTGTCAACATGACCTTGACATTGCTGCGGACCTGCCACGGTTTTTTTGGCCTCGAGGATTGTCCCCGAAAGCCTGCTGAATCTTGTGAATTGTTTCCACTTGGGTATCACCAAGCAGAAACCATTCGCTCCCGTGCATTATTGGTTTATGTGGGAAAAATAAAGGTCCAATACTTTTTGAACACCCCTCGTATATATATCATATTTTTATCACTCTTCTAAATATTAAAACTAAAAGACATATTTTTATTTAGTTCACCATGATAAAAGATTATATCATATTTACATTTAAATATTATGTATCATATATTTACATAATATAAACAAATTTTATAATTATATTTATTGTAACATATTGAAAAATTAATATTCTTACACAGTATAATATAACATTCTTAATGTTTTAGTAGTTATAGAACAGATTATGGTTCTCTATCATCTATATCATTTATGTTTGAAAAATTTAATAAATGTTTTCAGATAGCATATTTATAGATTTCATTCAAAATCTGATTAAAGTACTGTACTTTTTAATTCTTTAAAGGAAAATTTTATTAAAACATGCAAGACATTCAAAAAAATAAAAATAAACAGAACCTTTTCTAAATTGCTTTCATCTTTAGAAATATTTCTTCAAAATTGATATAAAAAGTTTCTTGACACTAGAGAAACTTTTGACTTTTTGTTTCTTTTAATTAAACAATACAAAACAATAGCCCTAAAAAGACTTTAGTCTTATTTTAGGACTGCAGTTTTTAACATAAATTTTTAACAAACACTTAATTGTAAAAATTTGTTCTTAAAAAAAGGTATAAAAATAAAGTTTTGATAGAATAACTATGTTATCTTTCAGCATGCATTACTGTTTCTTATTTTCTAAATGATTTTAAAATAATTCTTTATGATTCATGCACAGAACCAAGTGATACTCCTTCATTTTTCTGTTTGTCATAAGTCTTTGACAGCAGTTTATTTCAGTTGTAATGCTGCCATTACATAAAGCTTTTAGGATAAATATGATTTCATATTTTAATGCATATTTTAACATTTCAAAATTTTGCCTGATAAGTCTACAAACAAAAATGGAAAACAAAAATACTAGGTGATTATATTAAAGTTCCTGTCTAGAGAGAGATTTCCAGATTTGGTTGCATTTGAATTGCTAAGATTACACCTCAGGATTATGCAGAAGACATTTCCATAAAGAAACTGACACCAAAACTCAATACTATGATGACTAAGTGCTAAACATTTTATTTGAACAAAATATATTCATGTTGTATGCAGGAATGTTTAATGTGGTCACCATTTTGAAGGCAATGAACAGCCTGTTCACAGCCAATCGTAATTGCTCCTTTGTGATACTTATTGCATGCAGTGTATGAAGTTATTACAATTAGCCATTGAACAGTGTGTTCAGGCTCTACACCTTTAGAATGGGAACATATTGAGCATCATCCTCTGCATTGCTAATGTCTTTATGTAGCATGTGTTGTATAAATAAAATGTTTGCTGCTTGTAAAACCAAAAGTGTCAAGTTTTAGTACTAATGTTTTTTCATGGAATTGTCTTCCATATATTTTGAAATCTCACTATACCAAATTTGGTTGCATTTGGACTACTAAACCTCTCTCTCTAGATACTTTAACATTGAACGGGGGTAATTTTAATTAAATGGGAATGAAAAATACTTCTTTAAATCTTTTTAATGACTTTTAAATAAAGAAGAATGATATAGAACCATAACAGTAGTATATTATAATTAAAATTTTAATCTAATAGTTACTTTTATAGTTTATAGGGCTTGGAACAAAACTAAGGTGTGGAAAAGATACCCCTCTTTCAATTCAGAAGAATTTAGTCACTCCTTCATCAACACATAGTACAAAAATTATTGTTGAAAATGGTTCTTCAATGGATTCAAACTGCAGCAATGTGCCTCATAGTTCCTCTTTTATTGGCAGCTGTTCCAATATAACAATAACTAATGGAATCAAGGACACTGTTACAAAACTGAATGCAGCGTTACAGCCAGGTCTCATTGGTCAACCACAAGTAACAATTGCCAGTAATATGTTAGAAGCTGTAGAAGGAGAAGGTGTTTTACAAAGTGCAAAAAAGCTGAAAGTTACTTAATGTATTGTTTCAAATTAGAAACTTAAAACGGCAGCATTTCACCAGTGCTGCTTCCTTTTTTATCAAATGTAATTTGTTTGAAAACTCAAGAACAAATGGATGTATATATACGTACAAGCATGCAACTGCAGTTGCTGTCATCACTCATGGATATAAATTATTTCAAGATAAATTATTGCCAGAAAATGGCCCTTGACCAACTGCAGTAATCTGCAGCTTAAATTTTTCCTTGCCAAGAAAAGCCAAGCTATTATTGGCTTTTAATGATGTGGTGTCTTAAAAATTGTACACATTTGTAATATTTTTTAAGCCTGAACTCTGTGTGGCTCTTTAGACAGCTTATTTGAAAAAAAAGTAATTTAGCTGTAATTTCTAAAAGAATTGATATAGAATATACACAGAATTTTCACTTAAATTGCACAAACTGCCTTGGATGATTAGAGAATAATACACCCAAAAGCACTTATTCCATGGCAGTGCTCTTCTAGAACATATCAAAGATATTAAAGAGCATTGTGATAGTTGATCACAAAAGCACACAAAATGGGTGAACTATAATATAGTATAGTTGAAAGATAAATAGGAGTTTAATCTCCTGTGTGTAATTTACAGAATGAATGAGATAGAGCAGTTAAAAAGCTAGCTCTGTTTGTGTGCAAAGCAGAATGTATAAAAAATCAGTTTAGAGTTATATAATTTTATGAAAAATAACTTATTTACTATTGCCAAAGAAGTCACAATGAATTTGTAGTTTCACTGTAATGTTCCTCAGAACAGAAATGGTACTTATTTAGTATAACAGTGGAAAATTTTACTCCAGTATTAAGTTGTGACATAGTCATTACTGTGATGAATTTTGTGGTATGTTTTGTCATATGCACCACATGTGATTGTACATCTTGTGTTAGTGTTTTTTTTGTGCATGATTTGTTGTATAAAAATGTTGCTGTTGGAAATTAATAGTGCATTTCATATTTGCAAGGGCTTTCATTTTCCCCCACAATGTTCCTTGAAGCACACAGTCAGTCTTGTTCATATTATGTTGTTTAAAAATGTGTGCATGTGTGTGTATGTGTGTGACTTCTCATTCATCATGGAAGCCAGAACTGTTTAAATATATATATATATTATATATTATATATATACATACATACACATATATAAGAGAAGCTGAGCCTTTCCATTTAAATCAGACAAGAAACATTGGTACATGTACTATTTTTCAGTCTATGACAAAAGTGACTTTCATCCCATTCTTGTTCAAGTGCCGATCCCTTTGCTCAACAGGAGTCCATCCAGTTTTGGTGTCTTAGCAACATGCACTGCTGATGCAGTGTTGACAGTCACATACTGTAATTCATGTAAGGGAACGATACAGTTATAACCATCGGCAATTTTAGTGTGCATTCATTAAAAAATCACTGAATTCATAAACAAAAGGTTCATACATTAAAAAAAAATATATATGAAATAAAATAAAATTTTGAAATAATTGCCATTTCTTAATGTGCCTGCAATTCTCACTGATGGTTTACAACTGTAATGTTTCCATAGCACTTATGCTTCCCTTTGCTTCTTTCAAGAGAGGCATATTTTGTATCAGCCACTTCCAATTTTTGCAAAGTTAAAAATAAAAAAATAAAAAAGGCATTTGATAAATCAAATGCATCAATAAAAAACAGGTATCCTTGTGCCAGCATCTATGAAGTGCTGTGATGTTCAGCAGGTGTGAGTAGATGTTCAAACAAATGTTTTGAAAACTGTTTGAAAAATAAAATCTAAATCACATTTTACATGTTAGTGTGTGTATTTGAGAATTATTTTAAATAACTAAACTTTCATTTCTTCTTCATTAATGAAAAAATGGATATTTTCAGTAATTTATTAAAAAAAAAAAACTTTTTTCTAAATTTGTTATAATTTTGATAAATATTAATAGCAAATTTTGAAATTAAGTATATTATAAATAATAACGACCATCAGTTGCAACTAAATATATATTTATTCATATCTTACATGGCTTCTGATTGATTATTAAAAGAAAATTATGTTTTCTGTATTCCATATTTAGAATTTTCAACAGGGTGTATGAGCTAAATTTAAATGGAATTTAAAAAAATAAATTTGTAAATTATTCTGAATTTCTTAAATGCAAAATAGATAAGTTTAATCTATATCTGAATTTTCTTAAAATATTCTGTGAGAAAAAGTTTGTTCATACAGTAACGTTGTTTAGCCCTCATTATCTTATAATGAAAATAATCTTGTTAACACAAAAGATCAAAAGGAATATTTTGTTTACCTATGTAATGCACATTAAGAACTTGATATTAAAGGAAAGTTTACAATTGATTGTAAAATAATTTTATGAAGAAAATTTAGTATAATTTTCACAAACCTTTTTATCGTAATATTTTGTATATTTTTTGCTTATAACAAATGATATTTTATTCTTTGTATCTCCAGTAACAGCCGTGAAATAACCAGTTTCTAATAATTTACATTCGTTGCTTTATATTGTAGTCAGAAATACAGACTCTACTGTGTAAAACGAATTGTTAGTGTGTATTCATCAAATCAAGACTTAGACAGGGGAAAAAAATGTTTTAACAACAATTTTGAGTAAAAAGACATTTTTATTTATGGGATTGCATTTTCTTATTTAGATAACTATGTTTATTCACAAAGATTTGTATTTTTTATTATTTTTTTTTCTTAAATAAATCTGTGAGATTGTACACTACTACTATAGATAATTACTTTCCTTGGTGACTTTATTATATAAATTTTAGTTTGCCTTATTATTTAGTATATATTATCTGATCATTTTTAATTTCTACATTGAACACATTTTATTTATATTGTAAATGATGCAATATTATAGTGCTCTATCCGTGTGAATAAATATCAGAATTTTCTAATGCATTTAAAATAAACACATTAATTTATGAGTAGTTTCAATACTATATTCAGAAATAATGGATGAAATTTTTGAATAAATTGTGCTTCATAGTGTAATAAACAGATAACTGATTAAAATTTCCAGATTATACTATTTTACATATTTCAATTAGCACATTGTGCCATAATCTCTACAGTAAATAGAAATAATTCAGTAATATGATAGTATACAGACCTTTTCAGATTGGTAATAGACAACTGTAGTTATCAAATCAGTTAATAGAAATTTGGAAAATAAGGAAATCAAGAAAAGCATCTATCATCATAGAACCATAAGCAGCTAACTAAATCTAATTTTCAGAAAACAGGATTGACCAAAAATTGCAGGTTTTTAGGGGTAATTACTCCAAAAAAATTTGCTATTTTATGTAATTGTTTGGAATTTCATATACAGTATTTGCTTACAGTCCCAAATAAAATGATAATAGGAATACAGTACTCTATTATTGAAAAACAGTAAAAAATTTAGTTAGCTACTTGTGGTTTTATACCCTCATATAATTATGAATTAATTATAACATGAGTACAGTACATTCTTATAATCAAGAAGTCAGAGAATATATCAATTTCAAGCATTTCCAGAAATGTTTCATCAGGATTCTGAAATAATATCCAATGAGATAGGTGATAACAATTTGCTCAATACATTGAAAAGTTTGTAGAGATATGATTGTAAGAATGGAAAAATATGGAACTAGTACATCATGAAAACGTAACAAGGGGGAATGAGGTTAAAATTTACCAATAATAGCGTGACATCATTTATAGACGATTCCTTGTCCCTAGCTGCATCCCTTATATAGGCTACCAGCCAGACATGTTCTAGAACGGGCCGCTTAGGACCCGTTAAGGCTTCATATCCGGCCCGAAGTTTGGATGATTTCTAAAAATCAATGTTTCTAACATCTTGCAGAGATAAAAACGAAACTTTCAAACGTCTAGCTGTTTATGCAAATCGTGAAGGCCTGGTAGTAAAAGTGCCTTTGTTAGATCCTTTTTTAATTACAGTATGTTTTGGTTTACCAAATAATAAAGAATATGGCCCGTGTATTTCGCTGACCCATTGCTGCGATTGTTTGAAAACACTGTTCTAGAATGTTCCCAATACGGTAGAAAGAAGTTTCGAGAATAAATTCGATATCAGAACTGATATTATTTACTCAATTTGAAACCTAATAATCCCATGATTTTTGTCGAAAATTTCTGAAAATTTGCAGGGAGGTTTGCATATTAGGGGGATGGAGGCGATTAAATTTTGGTAGTTAAAGGTCGAGGGGATCGTGGATCATATCTGGACTTAATGAAGATTTGTTATTAACATTTACAAATTTTTATAAAATTCATTTCTCCCCTCAAAATTAAGCCTTTTGCCATTTTATAATCTCATGAATAATGGTGCCATACAAATATATTTATTTAATAGTATAAAATTTATATTAAGATTTGATAACAGCCGAGAAAGTTACACAACTCGTTGCTGGATATTTTTACTAGTTTATTTAATTAACAACTTTTATTAGTCAAGACGCTGACTGGTACAGAAGTAAAATTTTAACGTATAGTGGAGTTGATCTGTACGATGATGACTCGAATTCGTTCTTAAACGATCGTAGTTCTTGACCGAAGATAGAATATGGTGACACCTTGTCTTAATAACCCAATTTTTAACTCTTAACCACACAAAAGCATACAAATCACTCAAAGCTCAATTTTGTAGCAAGTGGCTGGGTTGATCCACAGATTTTAGTAAAGTTTTTCACAACATACTTTTCCTAGCAAGAGAAGGAAAATATGTTGGTATGTAAAGTACTGTATGTATTTAAGTACAATAAAATAAACTGTAAGACTTGGTAGTTTTATCGTTGTACTGACTAAAAATGTACTGTACGTTTTATGTTAGTTTTATTGACCATTGCATATCATCACTTCTAAGTGCTGTATGGTAAGTTTTTTCTTTCTTTTTTTTTGTTCTGTTTTAAAATTTACTTAAACGATATCCTTTTTTAGGTAAACCCAAGTTTACTCTTTCCACCATTTAAAGTTTGGTTACTCTGTATCCAGTGAGATTAAAAGATTAAAACGGAACAGAAACGTCACAAATATGGCGCTGGGCAAAACGCACATACTGTAAAGCCGAGTCTCCGATACGTCATATGCAAGTTGTCTATAAGTAAGCTATTGACCGAGCATTCATTTATAATGAAAAGTGAAATAAATGATTTTATTTATTAAATACAGTCGACCCCCCTATAATTACGATTCCTATAAAACTACGAAAAAAATATACGTATTTTGGAAATGTTGAGTCGGATTAGTGTAGAATCGATTAATTTTATGGAAGAAAACCTTTCAATCAGCCGTAGTCCGTAAACTTGACACGTGTCGGGCTGTGATTGGAACGACTTGTAAGAAATCGGATTCCTAATAAATTGGAACGTATCTATATCTTATAGGGGGGTCGACTGTAATGACTAATTCAATATCAATGTAATTTTATATTTGTTGTTTAAGACGAATTTTTTTAGTTTAAATTTTATTCCAAAAGCCTCCAGGGAGGGATCCAACACCCACATCCTCCTCATAATTACGCCACAAATTAGAACATAACGTATATTGGAGATACTATGTATTAGATTATAACATATGTTTAATTAAATTGTTATAATGTATTTGAAATTTCCAACACTTTGCAAGGAATTTGAAATAGGGGAGACCGGGGATAGTTGTCACAAGGGGCATGTTGTCACAGTGCAAATATCACCTATATAATCAAAACTGAATGGTCACGTCATCTAGGAGTAGGTTCCTTTACCGCTCGCCTACGTCATTACAAAATTTGAATAATATCCTTTGCATTGTTTTCCGTTAATTAGCGGTTAAAAGATTTACAGCAAGTCGCGTAAATTTTAATACATCATGTCTTGTGCCGTTTGAAAACTTGCAATTAGTAAAAGGTGAGTAACAACTGTATTTCCTATTAGATGGGTCCTTAATATATATATATATATATATATACATTACGAACAATCGAATTTTCTATTTTGAAATTAGAAACTATGAACCGATTTGCTAAGGAAATTCATTTGGGGCAACTTGTCACTAAGACTGACTGATCAGAAGAGAAAGAAAGGACCTGTTTGGTTTGTGGTCTCCAGGGGCGTGCCGTGACATTTGATGATAGGGAAGCTGTGTTTCTATAAGAAGCCGACATCCAGGGGCAATCAGTGAATTCTTTCTTTAAATGTATTTTCAATAGATTATTTATCTGACGTACTTAATAAACAAGTTCATTATAATTACCTCTGTTATTAGATCCAATATATTCCATATGCCCTCTAAATGCTAATTCTTGCTTTGATAAAAACATATAACATCTATTTATTTAGATATAATATATCTATTACCCATATAATATATCTCGTTACAATTTTCAATATTTATTTTATATTATTTACTAATGTTAAATTCTATTCCGCTTCGATTTCCAAATTGCTTCAAATACGAAAGAATCGACGATTTTTCGTGTCTTTTGCCAGCTAAATTGTCAAAGACATTCTTATTCCACACACTAATTTCACTCTGTAAATGCATTTTTATGCATTTACAGAGCCATTTTATCGTGAAAATATCGAACAAATTTTTTTATTGAAGCGTTTATATTTAACTTAGGCATTGGCCGTTCTCTTTTAATAATGTTTTCTTTTTCATTATATGATCTCGAGCCAAAACTTTTTTAAAATAAATTTTCAATATCGCAATTACATTCCGAATCGCTAGCCACGATATAAGGGCTAAAATTAAAAATAAAATTATAAAAACTTACTTGGTGAAATAAAATGTGTGGTGGATATACATACCTGGTACAAAACATTCTTCAATTGTATGAATATACTTTTAAAGAAAATTATAATTAAATATAACTTTGTAATGAAACGTACATAAAAATAACATAAAATATTCTTTACTCTTTAAATCTTAACCACTTAGTCAAATAGCTCCCTACGAGTGGAATCAGAGACGGTCCTGCTAGGTGTGCGGTGTGTACTGTACATGCACGCGGGCTGCCAAATCCCGAGGGTGCCGATACCCTCGGGATTTGGCAATGTCAAATGTTTCTTTTGTCGCATCACTAATATACCTCAAAAGACGCGACAGGGTTCTTGTAAATTTTAAACGTTTCTCACCATAGCTGTAAAAGTCTAAATATGTTAAACTTAATAGATTGTCCGTCGTTTGTTTTCTAACTAATTCGTTTTAGGACCAGGTGTTGTCCACGGAAATTTCCAAAATTTACAACTTTTCGGTCACTCTCGTCGAACTGGAAAAATTTCTGTCTTTATTACATCTAATACAGTATTTCGAAGAAATCAGTCCCCACTGTACTCGGCTATAGATTGGTTCGGTTAAGCTTTTGTTTAAGTAATATTCCGGCTCTTTCATCAGGGTTTTGTTTATGTCCCCAATTCCCTAATCGCTTAATTATTTAACTACTTCTTAAGTAGAAATAAGTCGAAACCAGTTACTTTGTACTCGAATATTTGTAGTCTCGGGAAAAAGTGGAAAGACAAATTTTTATGACAAACGGATACATAAATCGTAAATTTAAGGAAAATAAATTCTAGAGCTTTTTCTGTACCTCGTGCATCTCTCTCATTCATTAAATTTAGTTGTAAATGATGCTACCAAAGTAACAGTTAATTTTTTAACATTATACAAGAATTGTACACGTTTTTTTCTACATCCCCTTAAAGATGGGATGTACGAAATCGTAATATCACTGGTTTAACATCGAAATCCGTGAGTAATATAAAATCGGAAAGCGGAATAAATATATCAAATATTTTAATGGATTTTTTTAACTCCTGTCAACTATACAGAACTATCGTAAAAACATACCAGTAAATTCTTATCGGTTGGGTTAAGTTATAAATCTACTCGTTATTCACGTAATCGAAATATCTAGTGGGCAGGCGGCTAACAGCCCAGAACCGGTCCTTGATAGAATTGGAATCTTTATATGTGTGCAGCTTTCACCCAAGGTCGTAGGCTTCCACCGGCTAAACCGGGTGAGGTTGGTGCTCTGTAAAGCGCATGCGCAAATCTGGCTTTTCGTAATCTGAAAATACAGGAGATTCCACTCCGCCACTAATATTCTAATATACAATAGCAATTTTTTTTTCCCCGTGTAGTATAGAAATTTGTAATAAGATACATAATGCGGTTATAACAAAATATTGTGCGATTATTTTCATATAATTAAAATTAATATTTATTTATTTTTTAGAGAATACGAGGGAAGCGGCGCTTCCAACGCTTCTAATGACGGCACGCCACTGGTGGTCTCACTAGCAACGTACTGTACAGATGTAAATCCATATTATGTTTGTCACAACTGTGACTGAAGACAATATGTAAAGATTGGAGTTACTTGTCTTTCGCGGAATAAATAATAGTAAATTAGTAATCTATTTTCTTTATAGAATTGACACGAGTAAATGTCATATTACACATAATTTAACATAACCAAAATAAACTCAGGAAATGTGAGAACTTAGACTACATTTACACAGTTTCTAAAATAATAACTATGACAAAAAATTACTGAATGTTCATATATTTATTATAAACCAAATCAAAAGATATGTAGGTGTATACATTTTCACTTAAGCTTAAATTGATATTATAGACCCTAAAACTAGAAATGACTAAAAACTGTGACAGGTTCCCCTGATAAAGGCAAAAAAGGCACACGACGTTAACCCTTCCGACTTTACGGACGTACTCTTTCTCAGCTTTCAGTTACCTGTTCAAGGTTGAGTCTTTTGCAAATCTTCACGTTTTGAGATTGCGAACCCAAAAGAATAAAAAAAAAAATTCGTTGATACGTATGTATGTGTTGACGTCTATTTCGCTTAATATCTCGGGGTGAAGATAAAGAAACGAAATTTAGCATGGTAGCTTGTATATAAGAGGCATTGAAGCTATTAAATTTTGGTTGTGAAAGGTCAAAGGGATGGAGAGATAGAGGGTGGTCACGTATCTTATCTCGCGACTGGTATGAAGGTTTTACTTGTTAGCATTTAGTATTTTATTAAATTCGTATCTGCTCAAAATTAAGTCTTTTGATATTTTTATAATAATTAAAACTATATAAAGTTTTTATAACAAAATCTCATAACAGATAGCGCTACATACAATTTTATTTATTTTGATTAATAATACAAATGTTATTTTTAAAATAAAAATCTCATAAGAGCCGGGAAAGTTACGCAACTCGTTGCTAGATTTTTTTTCCCTTGTTGTTGTTGATTTTCAATATTCTTCAATTGAGTCAAGTGTTGTATATATTATTTCTTTGGCTGTTAAAGAAAACAAAAACAAACACTATATATAACACTTTTGAAGTTTTTTAAGCAGAGAAATAATGTTTATGAAAAAGTGTTTACTCAAGCCACCTAAAGGAATTGGTGATTCCACTTGAGATCTCAATTCTATATTTAGGGGAATCGCTGTTCTACAGTAAAGTGTTATATAACGAGTGCAAAATGATCAAAAGTATAAAACTGATGTGATAAAATAATATTGTATCATATTTAACAATTTATTTTATCATTTCTGTACACTTTGCACTAGAGAATTCCATCAAAATGATCAAAATCACTATATTAAAAAAAAAATGTTGGCTCTCAGCTTTTTGGGGCAAATATCAGAGCTCTCAACTGTGATTTTGAAAAGAGCGATATTGCTCTTTTCAAAATCACAGGTTGAGAGCTCTGTATGGTAAAATATACGAGAGCAAACAGCGCAGATCGCATTACAATACATCCTCATCTCGAGTAGACCTGACAAAAAGTGATTTGCTGTAAATAAATTTGAATTAGTCACGTATATAAAACTTTTATATCAAAGATATAAGCATAAAAGCAATTTAAAACTGTTAGGAAAGCGATTTGATTTCTTCCAGTCGAACATTCTCTCTCCCATAGAATATTTTATACAAAAAGTATTTATTAAAATATCCGATATTTAAATTTTTATTAAAGTAATTTAAATACTTCATTACAATTTTGGCAATCTTGGTTATTTCATTTAAAGAAAATTATATATTTAATATCGTTAATATATTAAAGTTTCTTCAAAACTGATGCCGATTATAAGCGAAATGTCTTCATAAAACGCAATTTATAGTAAGAAAAATAGGTGTCTTTCTTCACAAAAATAACGAGATGTAATTGGCGATTCATAATCAGTTCTGGAAACTTTTGTCCGCATTCGGTTTTAGCTTTGTGTTTCTCTAATTCCGCCCAACCGTCGAATTCTTTCTCGCACCCATGACAAAACGAATCGTAAAGAAAAGCGGCCCAAATCTTTACTTTTGTCCTACCCAGAGTAAACTTATATTTAACACAGTTCCATATACTGCAAACTGTCTTGTTAGCGTGTAAATAAACGTCGTATTCTCCTCCGAATTTCTTGCCGCAGTGGCAGCAGAATCCTCGAATTTCGAAAAATCTTTTTGTTTCAAAGTCTTTCCTGATCATTTCGTAAAGAATATCCAATTCTTCCGATTGATCTTCTTCGAATTCTGTTTCCGTTGGTGGCAGATTTTCTCTGTATTTCTCTACGATTTTTTTCAGTTTTTTGCGCGACTGTTTACCTTTGAATCCTGGTTGAATGGGTCGAAAGGATGGAAGAGTCATCCTTGCTGCTTTACTGTTTTCTTGTCCTACGTGATATGTGGTACAAGACATTGGTTGGCGAAAACGAAGCTTTGTTTAAACCAGGATGCTGGAAATAAAAATTATTATTTGTTTATTTCTTCCAGGAAAGGTAAATAATGATATTTCTATAATAAATTTTTATTCTCTATTTCTTAGTGTATTTTGAACAATATAATTCCAATGTAAAACTACGAGCGTTTTTTCTGAGACAAGATTTACATAAAAATAACACATAATTTACATAAATAAAACTTTTGCATGGACTTACGAAAGACGAGTCTTTAGTAGCTAACTCGAGTTTCAATTAGCCAAATTTTGTAATCTACAATTACGCATTAATCTAACATTGTAAGTCAATTCGGCATTATTAATACTGACCTTTCAATTTTCAACAAAATCAACTTTCCCTTCAACAATTCAACAAAATTCCTTTTGCTAACATAATCTGACTCTAATAATCTTACATACAGTGAAGGGGTCGTCGAGAGCTTGTATGGAGCGGGCTCCCATTGCTCCTTAGTGAACCCTTGCCATACAATTTTTCGCGGAATCCTTCTTCCCATATCTTTATTAGTTCTTCCCCAAATTTAGTACCATTCCGGTTGTCAGATCGAGCTGTACAGTACAAGGCTTTCAGTAGTGTAAGTTTAATTAAGACAACTCTGTAAATTTATATCAATAGTATTGATATAAACAAATTTACATACTTAACTATTTTCCGTAATTTTTTGTACACGTATCAATCATTTGTACATCGAAGGACGTTTTGTAAAAACAAAACGTCCTTCGATGTAATTTGAATAATTTACATTACATATTTTATAGATAGAATATATAGATTTAGTATATCGAGAATATTGCTAATTCATTATAATCTAGATTTTGACAATGATTCATATTTACGGTTAGCATTTCACTTTAAAATGATTCATTTTTAAGTGACTAGGTATTAATTTAATAAGAAAAGTTCTATCGATACATTCCCAACACAAACAGATATTATAATAGATTTTAGTGTTGATTTTTAAAAGAAAAAGTTAAATAAATAAGCAATATTTTAAAATAAATTTAAAGGCAGCGCAATACAGTAATTGGCAACTGAAGAGTGACAAATATCAATAGATCCAAGTTCGTATTGACGAGATTTGGCAAGTAAGCTATGTTACTACATAAAGAACATTTTAAAAAGTTGTGAAAAATAATAATAATTCATAACTTGAAAAATAAACTGCATTACTTTATCATCGAAATCATTTATTTATTATGTCTAAAAGAGAGCTCAACTTCTCAGTTAATTCTTGCATCCCTCAATTACAATTTTATAATTTAATTAACATATAATAATTGAAATAAATAATAATAATAAATTATTAATCCCTATTCTTTTTAAACCGGATTTAGTATTACCTTCAAAATAAACAGTCAAGATATATACTTACATTTGTTATATTATACAAATATAATATTCCATGTAATGAAAAAGGAGTGAAATTACTGTAAATCTATAATTTGCGGGATGTTGTTATTACCATTTTTATTTTATTTTATTTTTCATAAAGCGATAATCTCTTCTGCAATCAATCATCGATATTATTATTACATTATCATCTAATTATCGTCGGTGTGATTAGATGTTAATATAATCACACATATAATTATTGTTCCATAAATGAAACTATTGAGTTCTCAATTATAAACATTATAATTAGATTTGGTCCGGGTGAAGATAAAAATTTAAATCAGTGATCAAATTTGGAAAATATCAGGAAGAATAACAACATCCTTAAATTGTTACTGTAATACACAATGCATATTAAATTTATTTATTTTCAATTCGATAAAATCATCTTGGAATTTTACATTTACAGAGATTCGTCACGATTTGAATTTTATAAATTTATTATTATTTAAAATTAAGTGCGAGAGAATATCGTAAAAAGAGACACTAAAAGTTTCCATGGCTCTGCTCGACTTTTTTGGAATCCGGACAAGAGGTTAAATTAGGCAGCAGGGGCTGTCCTAATGATTACTTACCTGGGAAAGATCCTAAATCAGGTAATGTAATTCAGAATCTGTAATTTATCTCTCGTCTCTTCTTTCGGAGACGAATGACGTCAACACGAGAGACGGAGACAAAGGCGATTCTGATCACTCGCAACGATATCGTCTTTGCTGTTGACCTTACAATTCTACTAGATTGATTTTATATGTCGGGCTGTATGTGCGCGCAACAGAGTACAGAATTTTAAAATGCAGAGTACAAAGTTATAGAGCACACGGTAAAAAAAAAACCTTGTGGTTTTGACAAAGACACGCTTTCATTTCGTTTTATAAAGCTTTTACGGGTTCTAATGTCAAAGTGTCTTCTCAAAAAAATATATATATGTTTTTGTTTTCGTCACCTAAACTTACGCTACCGTTATTTATTTTTATACTTAAACTTTAGCTAATATGTCGGCTGAAAAAACAGAACTACCAGTCACGATTTTTCCTTCTAGCTCCGCCAATCTAGCTACAGAACTGATGTGTACAGTACTTAGTTAAAGAGAAATTAAATGACAATATTTCGAAAAATACTTTGAGAGATGGATTGCTGGAAGTAACGAATAGGATTAACAGGATATTCAATGGTGCGGTAACTGATATAGAATCATTTAAAAACAGATGTAGTCAGTGGCACTCCCGAATGAATGTAAAGTGGCCGCTTTAAAAAAGATTAAAAGCTTATCTCCATCTCGAAATACTCATTTCCAAGATGGAGAACTTTCTCCAATACGTAACATAATGGACTAAGTAAGTGTTTAGCCAATCAGAACCAGGTTGTGTTGCAGACACAATCTCGAAGACAAGAAACGATTACCAGAATACGGCTCCAAGAAGGAAGTCCGATAATTTTCAATTATACTACGATATAAATCATCTCTGCTTATAATATCTCTGAAACATGTTTATATTTCTAATAGACATATTAGAAGTTGCATTAAATGTTCAATTATTTCGCACACTTCACTCTGGCACACTCTCACACTCTGTCCCACTGTGCACTGGCGTAAAGTTTCAATTCTGTCCAACAGAGACATTGAATTACAAATGAACTGGATCAACATGAATGACGATGAAGAGGATGTCCCGATTCGCATTATAAAAGAAAAAAAATCACGACAATCCCGCGGATTCTCGTGTAACAAAGGGAAAGTATGGCAATCGGTCAAAAAATGGCCCTCGAGATTTTTACATTTTTGGACTTAGGGCACCTCGAAACATCAAAAATGAAAAAACGGGATTTCTTCTGTATGTATGAATATGAATGTATGGGATGCACGATTTACTTCACCATTTTGAAGATTGATAACTCCTGTGTCTTTTGTCGAAAATTTCTGAGATTTTGCAGGAAAGTTTGTGTATTAAATGGATTCGTGCTATTAAATGTTGGTGGTTGAAGGTCCCGGGGTGATAGAAGGGGTCGTATGTCATATCTCGAATAGGGTTGACGTAATGAAGATTTTACTCGTTATTAGCAATTACAATTTTTTCTTTTATAAAACTCATACCTACTTTCAAAATTAAGCTTTTTGCCATTTTATAATTAATTAATTTTATAAAAAGTTTCTTAATAAAATCTCGTAACAAATGGCACCATACACAGTTTTAAATGCTGCCGAGAAAGTTAAGCAACTCGTTGCTGGATTTTCTTATATCACATCATTCTTCACAACGGTAAGGCGATGTGTACGACGAGACTATCCAGTTGGTACTCAACTGGAGTTAACCAAATAAAGAAAGCCTTAATTAATGATAGAAAACAGATAAGTACAATCTATTTATTTAAAATCTAAGAATAAATTTTCAGATATTGTGTTAAAAAGCCGTAAATATTGATAGCATACTTTCAAAAACTTATTTCGATCTGTATCAGAATCATCTAAACTAAAACAAATATAACATTGACACAAATAAAATGACAAACAAAAATTCAATTAACCTTCGACAAAGGCCATCTTCGGATGTTTAAATTTTATAAATCTGAAAGATAGATTTACAAGAGAGAGAAAACAATCCAAACACATAAATGAATTTATCAAATTTCTAAGAAAAAAAATATTTATTTTACTGTTAATAAACTGATTAAATTATTAATTATTATTTATTAGATTAAAACGCAAAAATGAAACCTTGATCTTTTACCTCGACACGGATCTTAAAATTATTTATCTACATTTAGTGATTACAATTGCATACATTATATGTTCTATTGATAGCACAAATGATGATAAAATATCGTCTAGAAATGTAAAAATCATTTTGAATTAAAGTAAATAATTATTTGTTTTATAGAAACCCATGAAATAAATTTACTTTAAACGTGTTATTCTCAGAATATTCACCGGAAGTCGTACCATTTACATTCCTGTGGTTCTCCATAAAATTTCTTCATATAGATATAGAAACTATTAATTTAATCAAGATATATACTTACATTTGTTATATTATACAAANCGAAATTTGAATATTTGAAATACTATCAGAATATTTTAAATATTTAATGTAGAAATAATTTATTTATTTCGAATCATTATTTATGTCTTATATTAATGCTTAATAATATATATATATTTCTGTTTTAAAAAGACATTTTAATTGTTTATCACTAAAACTGTTTAATTGTTTTTTAACGTTAGCGAGGAATTAATATAAATTTAAGCAAAATAAACCATTCTATTTAGTTAACTGATATATAATCAGATATTGTTAATATACTATTTTGCTGGTCTGACCTTTTTCCTTATTAAATATAATTAATATAATTTTAATTAAGTAGAATGGGGAGAAAGTGTTTTCCTTTTTGAATTTATATTATAAAAATATAAAATATTATATAAAACTGGAAGATATAAACTTAGTGTAATCATTACTTATTAAGCCCCCTTAACCACGTGTTTCGATTTATATTGAACACGTCTACCGAACTTATAACGCTCAGAAATGTACAGTACACATTAATACTAGTCTATCTTCAGAATTAATTACAAAGAGAAACTCAAAAAATTCGAAATAGAAACAAAACAATTGCACTAACCTGTAAATTGGCAACAGAAGAGTAACGAACGTACAATGACTTATATCGACGAAACACACAGTTCAGTCTGAAGTAATTTTGATACTGTCAAAGAGGTATTTGTTTATAATCATTTAGTGAATTACCCACGTAGAAAAATTTCACATATGGCAATCGGATATTATAAATAAGCGAGAAATTTATAAACACGCGCTAACTAGCCAGACATTTATCATTAAAATGTGTAAGTTCTCGTCATATAATGGGTTTTAAAAACGTGGAAGAGTAGCGATCATCCCTTTTTCGAACAATAGAACCTTCTCAATTGACAAACCGAGTCACATTGGTAGAGTAATAAATGCACGTTTATGTGACGTTGAATTGGCTCGATGCCAGTTCTATCAAACACGATAAATAAATAAATGTTATCTAACAAATCGCTCGCTTCGAATCTAACGTTTTGCTTCTTCTTGAAGACATTATCGTGAATGAAAATTAAATTGTTAAAATTAAAAGTTAGGTTAGGCTATAACTTCGAGAAATCTGATCCAAAATAAATTGAGGTAATTGGAGACGTTTTCAAATATTATTGTTAAAAAAAAAATACCTAAAGTAAGCATAAGTATTCTAATTCTAACCGTAAGTGTAAATTATAAACTATTGTATTATTTATGCAATGATTATATCATTGAAGATTAATCAGTTCCGCATTTATTTTAAAATTATATAAACAATAGGCTATAATTCTATTGACACAACCGTATTTTATTTTTAAAATATTTTAAAATTATTATTTGTCTAATTACGAAATTATCTTCGTTACTTTAAAAAAAATGAGATAAAACAAAAATAAAAATGATCGTTCTTTTTACAACTCTACTTTTATGACTGGTATAAAATTTTTTTATTGTGACTGTATGAAATTACTATATATTTTGTTGGTCACCTCTTTAGTATATTACATCGTTCAAATTTTGTTTTCGGCAACATAACCTCAATTTATCACATTAAACTTATGAGAAATAGAAGGTTCTCTGCACCACTTTCAAGGAACTAATTAAGTTGTTTCTTTTGTAAGATTTATAGATTCATATATATACACAAATGAATAACAAACGGAAATGAAAATATCATATAAAAATCTACAGATTCATTAAGAAATTTTTAAGAAAATACATATATGAGTATACCGTATTTAAGATTCATTTCGACGTTTAAAATTGAATTTTCGGGGAAAAAATTAAATAATAATTAGAAATAAACTTATTAAAGAGCAATAAACGTTAATAATATTTTTAAAAATATAATATAGTTAAGAAAAAATGTAAAATACACAGGAAATCCTATAAAATTTTCATGAACAAATTACATACAAATTTTTCAAGAGTGACAAAGAATACTCAAAATTTATTCCAATTTTAAATTCAGCAAACATAAAAAAAAAGTACCCTTAAATTCAAAGTAATTCGTTATTATTATGAATAAATACTAATAAATACGAAAAAAGGAGAACTTTCCCGTAATCAATATTATCAATATTATTGATAAAATACGAAAACAAAAATAACAATAACATCAAAGAAAACAATTATGAAAGAGCCTATTTAGCTGCAAATGTAAATATCCACATAATACATTAATTTATAGACGAGGAAGTACTGTACAGTCGACCCCCTATAAGATTGTTGATTTTTCCGTTTTATCTGAATTACATGTTGTACGAGTCACTTAGATTTTACAAATATGTGAGCCATTCACAGCCCGGCACACGTATTTGTAAAATCTAAGTGACTCGTACAACATGTAATTCAGATAAAACGGAAAAATGAACGATCTTATAGGGGGGTCGACTGTAATTATAATTAAGGTCGGGAATTTTATAAATGATAATTACTAATATAATGAATATTTATGCGTGCAAAATATTAAAAATATACAAGGACATAAAATTTTAGAGTGATCGATTGCATCGATAATATTAAAACAATATATATCATATGATTTGTCGTTAATGGAAAATATTAATTACACTGTTTTTTACAATTACTCAAATTTTAAAAAAAAATGTATGAAGTATTACTTAAAAACTAAGGGATAAGTTTATGGGAATTTATCAAAATTCGTGTTGCAGCATTAAAATGCTTTTATATATAAAACTACATATCTTAAAACATTATACATTGAGAGTTACTTGCAGTGACTCCGCGCCAAGTGAAAAAGTCACTGATCAACTAAATAGAGGAATCAGAGTTGCCTATTTTCGGGAGTCAATTTATCCACGTCCCGAACGCCTATAGTAATTCCGAATATCTCATTCGAAACATGCTTGTTTTCTTGGTCAGTGTACAAAATTTCAGGTATTTATATAAGGGCATTGTCGAAATATAAGCAATCGAAATCACAAAAAAAAGCTGTATTTTCTTCTTCATCCGGCACTGTAGACGCTCCAAGAGAAAAATCTACTGGCTCCAAAAAGCTCAAATTTTAAACTTAAGTCTTTCTCGTTGTCAGTGAGGTACTGGCGAAACTTCCGGGTCGATAGGTCAAAGTTCGCGCTTGTTTCCCCATACAGCTGCTGCTGTTATGGTTTAATTTCATGTTTATAAGGATACAGTCGGATGGAAATGTCCAGCTTATTTTTACCAAAGAAAAACTCCTAAGAAAATAAATTTGACTGTTATCCAAATTGTCATAATTTTTACTTGCGTAATTGTTTTACATCTCGGATGTTTTTGTTTGAACATTGTAAGTTTTTAAATTAATTTAAATAACATTCTTATTTAACTTTTATAAAAATAAGAAATTTAAGTAAATATAAATCAACGCTAGTTTAAAATATCCCTAATTACAGGTATTAGAAATGAAATAAACAAAAAAATAATGTTGAGCAATAATAATATAGTTTATAACAGCAATATTCATTTATTTTACCTTTAATCTTAAAAGTTAAATAAATGTAAATGGAAATATTAATTATCATGATAACTAAGAAAAGAACTTCATCTAAATTCTTTAAAATACAGTATTAAGATTATTATTTTATTTAACGTTTATTAAGTTACGTCATAAGGTTGGTCAGTTAATGGAGTAAGGCACATCATAGGGTGAGAGCTTGTATTGGCTTCAGCTAATATTACAAACTAGGAGCTAAGATTTATTTTTAAATTCTCTGCCCTGCGAATACTGGAAGAGATTTTTTCAGGTCTTTTAAGTTTTCAGTTTTCATAGGTAAGGAACAGGACCCGATATATCCGGGCCCTGTTCCTTACCTATGAAAACTTGAAGATCGTCGATGACATATTCCTGATGTTTCTATGCCCAAATTTCTAACAAATCAGTCCAATTCAGGTTCAATTAAGATGCAACACGATATAATAATAAAATAATATAAATCTCATTCCAAGGTATTCGCAAATTATCCTGTGTTAGGCATATTTATTTTTTTCACAAACAAATTTCTATTTATATAAATACCATTTTATTTTAATTAATTCGACGAATTTTACATTTACAGTATGTGAAATAATTAATCCTATATAATCCGGAAACTATTTGAATATTTCTCAATATACGGAGTGAAATAATAACCTACAAGGAAAATTAGTCAGCTGAATCGAAATGAAAAATTTAGTAAATATTTAGTAAACTTTTTTGGAGGAAGATTAGAGTAAAATTTAGAATTGAAGAATAGAGCTATTATTTTAAATGATATTTATCGTATAAAGCAAATACTCAAATATTTGTTCACACTATTTAGGAAAAACTTTAGAATACTTTAAGCTTACCCTTTGTACATTTTGCTACGTTCTACACAATAATTTTCCTCGAGATATGAATTTTATTTTGTAATTACGTGTAAAATATTTTTAGTTTCCTTTCCCCAGTTAGAAATTGCGTCATTAAACTACTATAAACTCATTTTCCACCTGATTGCAAATTTATAAAAATTTAATGTATTAGAAAATTTTTTAATTTCTTTTTTTCTGTTTCATATATCTTCTTTTTTTCATCTAACAACAAATTTAGATTCTTCAGTTCTAAGTAAAATTTTAATAATAGATTTATATTAAAAACTTTAATAACTAGTAAACATGGTAGATAGACCTGTATTATAATTATTTTACAGATTATATTTGAAAGATCTTATAAAATTTGGATTTAAAATCTTACAATTTTTCTTTACATAATCACTAACTCGTTAGTAGACGTCCAACCATTTTACGGTATATTAATTTCATAATGCTTTTTTGACCATTATAAATACAGTATGACAGTTTTTGTCTGTAAGAAATACAGTAAATCCTGTCTTTAATGATATAATTGAGAAGTGTGTCCGTTATTGCCTGTAATTCATTATATCGAATGTGTTTTTAAAAATATATATTAATAACGAACTTATAATGTGCAGCATATATTAAAAAATATTAATAAAAGAAAGAATTGTCTGAAATTAAAGTAAACTTGACGAAAGGCACAAAACAAATTGAAAATTACAATATTCTAAAATCCATGGGCAAATTTGAGATAATACGCATGCTTACTTGAATAAAAAAAAATTATATCGAATAATGGAATTTGCACTTAATTTTGTACGGAGGATTTATCAAATTCTCGAATCGTGTTAGAGCGAAACTGTGTTGCACTGTACCTGTATATGCAGATCGCAACCAACTGTTAAACACAAATGCGCTGTAAGTAGCCTATTTAAAATCCTCTCCTAAACCATGAAAGTTAGGAGAAATAATTGCAGCACTTCCGATATGAGGGCGTGCGAGGTTAGACTCGTACGATTGTTCGAACATGGATCATGTACCCTAGATGAAACTGATTCTGATTGACCATATATCACATTTTTTGTTTGTCCCATACATCGAGAGTCACTGCTATAACTCTCCATGTAAAGGAATAACATTGAAATTCTGACTATGTATAGAGGAATCAGTCTTGACGAGTTTCGGAGTCAATTTCTCCGTCCCTTCCCCAAAAACCTATAGTAATTCTGAATATCGCGTTCGAAAGAAAATCATCTTAGGTAGTGTGCAAAAAATTCAGAGTTTTCTATAAAAAAGTTGCCGAAATATTTGTAATCTGTATTTCTATCTGCAAGACCAAGTTTTGAACTATTTACGAAGACAATAAATTGCACCAACAAACTTTAAATTTTTTTCTTGGAAATAATTTTTCAATTGAAATCAGATCTAATCAGATACGAACAAGTGAAGTAACAAACTAATTAACAAATTAAGAATAAATTAATAATAAAATATATTTATATTGCTGAAATACTTCGAAGTGAGACTTTTCTCTTAAGATTTTTAGTTTTTATTTTAAAACTTGGATTGTTATTTCAAGAAATTTTGACAAATTGTACATCTAGTCCGAAAACACCACATTTAAGTTCGTGGATATGTCGAAGAAACAAAAACAATAGACTTTACAAAACTGATACACAATGGGATCTACGTAAAGATGTAGATTTTTCTAAGACATCTGATCAACGACTGGAAAAGAAGCAAAAATATCGAAACCTGTTATCATATACTGTCAAGGTAGAACCTATATCTCATTCAAAAGTGAGTATAATCCCAAGTATTCTGGATTATTTATTAACAAAAACATTCAATGAATACAAATAATAAAGATGG